CCGCCCCCTTTTCCCCCCCCCCCCCCGGCTTGGGAATGGATTTAAAAAGTCATTTAAAAGGAGCATTCCCTTTAAATGGCTTTTGCATTTATCTCTCCCCCCCCCCCCGGTTCTGCTGGCCTCAGGGAGCCGCCACCAGCAGAAAGGAAGGGGGGATCTATGAACTGAACTAGTTCGTGAAGAGGGGGAGGTTCATTCTGACTCGTGATGCCTCATGAACCAGGAGGAACCTCCCTTTTCCTGGTTTGTGCCCGTCCCTAGACTTAACCCCTCAGTGCAAATGTATTGGAAGCTTCCTTGCCTCTGCTCTGATGCATCTTAATCATTCTTCAGCAAAAAGAAACAGTAGGAGAGTACCTTGGCTTTGAGATGATAAATTAGTGACATTGGTACTTTTCAGACTTTAAGACTGGGGATTTCGGAGAGTTCCCACAGTCTTTTATGCCTTAGTGCAAGATTCAAGTTTTATCAAACTGGGAGGTATAATCCCACTGGAATTAGTAAAACGTGGTTATGGGATTGAGCCTTTGACTGCTGTGCACCCAATATGACAAACTGCAGTTTAGGTGATACAGGTAGGGGATGTTGTGTAGCTTTTCTAAGAGAGTTGTTTCACGCAACCAAGCTGTGATCATATGAAAATCAAGACGTGTACCAACTTGACACTGTCTTCTCTGTAAGTTTGAGTTGGTCTTACTGTTATTGAATGCTGTTACTTTGGTACATCTTATTGCCACATTTGGCCCTTAAGTCATTGGGTTTTTTTCCTTGTTATTATGCCTAAGTAACCTAGTCTTAAGAAGGAGAAAAATTTCACACTTACAGGTGCAGAGTATAGACAATTATGGATTACCTTCTCCATTTTAACTTGAATAATGAAAGCAGCAGCAGATGCTGGTGACAGAAGTATGACCTTAATATATTTGCTATTCTGCATTTTATTTTCTTCTGTCCAGGTGTTAATGTATTTCAGGTCAAGAAGCAGATTTCTAAGAAGTGGTATTTAATACCCTTAGCAAGAAAACTTTTAATGTTTGTTTCCATAAAACACTGAGAGAAAAGGAATTTTGGGGAGATAGCCATCAGTCATTTTAGGAATAGTGCAGGGATAACATTGTCTCTTACTTAACCATAGTTAAGCAATCCTGAGAGCCAGGCTAAAGGACTGTGAAGTTCCTCCGCTTACCCCACTTATTTTAGTGCAACCCCCCCCCCCCCCCCCCCCGGTTAAATCTAACTGCAGTTAACTTTATATTGGCAGTGACATTAATGACAGTTAAAAGTAACCCAGGATCTGAAACCAGCTTCAGACTGTGGTCTCAGTTCCTGGGATAAACAGGAACTCCGGTTAGCTCTTATTGTGGTTAACGTCACTGCCCATGTGTGATTAAGTTCAGTGGTGGAAATTCGTGCTCCATTAGGGCCAGGACAGAGACGAGTGCAGTCTCAGGGCCTACTCCTAATCAAATGTGGTGGGCATTCCGTTGGAATCTTAACATTTACCCTGAACTATAGTGTGATAAAGAGTCATTCTATTGCTTATGCTGCCTAATAGCCTAAGGAACATGCAAGAAACATAAAGATGATATTAAACCAAGGTTGCATTGCATTTGGCCCATGTACTCTGGATGCTGAATGCAAATCAAACTAGACAGTTGTGTGCCCTATGGGATTAATCTGTCTTATTTTCTTTCCTGCTTGTTCTTTGACAGCTTCCATCACTAAACAGTTTCTCTGCCAGTCTTGGGTAGAGCCCACTGGAGTTCGTCAGAAGGGCAGGCAGTTTAATGATGCTCTCCACACTTTGTTCTGGTAAGGCTGGCACCGTGCACTGTTTTTGTCTTTGCTTCCACAAAATGGCTGTTACGCATCCACTAACCCATGTCACTTGTAAGTATACTTATTGCAAACCCCCTTCATCCCAGCCCAACAGTATGGGAAATCTGAAAGGTGCCTTGTTATACACGTGGTGTAGTCAGTTAATTGATCATCCGGTGTGTTTTGGATAGTCTTGCCCTTCTCCTGAAGGAGCAGGTTTATAGCTTGGGGGTGTTAATGAATTCAGTGTCTAGAGACAGAAGTCCAGGTCTTGTGATGCCTTTTAACCAGCTTTGATGGCTACACCAGCTACAGCTTTAAGAGTGAGAATTTGGCAAGTATTGTGATCTGGTCACATCCATGTTAGATTTCTGCAGTGCACTATACATGGGGTTGCCCTTGAAATCTGATTGGAAGTTTCAGCTAGTACAAAATGAAGCAGTAAAATTGTTGACCAGCGGATGTTGTAGGGAACACATCTTACAGGTTTTGAAACACTGCCCTGGCTACATATTTGCTTCTGGACAGAAATCAAAGCAATGGTTATTCCCTTAGCTGAGCTTCTACAATTATGTATGCTGTATGCTACAATAGTTCAAAATCAAATTATTGCAGTCTGTGTATAATTCTGTTAGCCTCTTTTCTCACCCTTCATCGTCAGCCGTATGGGAAATGTGAGAGGGCAACAATGTATTTATTCATGTACTGCCAGGGAGGGAGAGGTTTTTAATAGAGTAATGCCTTCTGAGGAAACTGTAATTGTAACACAGCTACATGCTGCAGAATTAATGATGCTGCTGAAATGAGTAGGATAGCTTCTCTTTTCTGTTCTTATTCCAGTGTATTAAGACGAGTGTAGTGCAGATTGAAACCTTAAAAAGGACTAATACCATACAGAACACTGTGTAATTTTCATAAACAACTGTTCCTCACAGTATCTATTTGGAGCACACAGACAACATATTGAAAGCTATAGAAAATATTTCCAGCATTGGGGTTCCGGAGCTGATTGATGATGGCAACTCTTCTACTTACCCTACTTTGACCAGGTAAAGACATCAGTGCAGCTTATTTAGACTACATTTGGATTTTGCATTCCCCTTCCCCCAAATTAAAATATATGCAGAAAAAAATTGTATGCCAGTATTTGTAAATAACTTACATATAAATGAAGGACACATTGATTGCCTCTTCAGAATACTTTGTGGGGATAGAGGAAAGCCCATGGAGTTGGAAAATTAGATGAATTGGAAGAGAAGCAGAGAGCTCTTCAGAGGACTGAAAATATGACTACAGGATATCCTGACAAGGCTCTTTATTGATTTCTGTTTACATTACCTTCTTATATTCAATACCTTCTCTGCATTCATGAGGACTGCGGGCTTGGCTCCTTTCAGCTTTCATTTGCCAAAAAATAATAATGTTTTAGGAAGCCCTTTTATTTTTTTTGCTCTCAGATGTAGTGTGGAATGTGTACAGTATGGAATACACACCGCCTTGCATCCCTTTACCCAGTAATCATGTTTGAGAATCTGTCCAAAACTGTTTTCCTGATGAATAACTATGGCTCAAAGACTTTAAGCCAGGGGTGTCAAACGTAAGGCCCAGGAGCCAGAACCAGCCCGTCTAGGGCTTTTATGCAGCCTGCGAGCAACTAGTGCAAGGGAGGGAACAGGAAACTGCTTGGAGAGAGTGGGCAGAGCCACTCTGGTTGTGGCTTCAGCATGGCGGAACAATCTCACCTGCAAAGGTCAAGCAGCGTGGGAGCATCTGCCCAGTGCTGCACCATGGGTCTCCAGTCCGCCCATATGGGCACCCCCCTCCCAGCCCATGGGGACTTGCAGTGAGAATACAACAACTCAGAGCTTACCAGCTGCTGTCCTTTATACAGTTTCTCTTTCCAGTACCTGGCATTACGTTTATGGCACACACGTCCCAGCCCAACAAAGTGACATTTATGTCAGATCCGGCCCTCGTAACAAATTAGTTCGACACCTCTGCTTTAAGTAATTCTTAAGGGGAAAATGGTCTTGGAGGCAGATATGAATGCAGATAGTATATAAATGTTCCAGAAATAAGTTATTAGTCCATGATGAAGTGAGTTCTAGCTTCTCCTCTCCCCACCCCCTTTTCATCAGGCAAACATTTCCAGTTTTCTTCCGAGTGATGATGGCTCAGCTAGAAGGCTCAGTGAGGTGCACTCCTGCTGGAAGACCATCAGAGTCTAGTGAGGTAAGCTGACAAACAGTGATCCTATCCAAAGTTACCCCAGTCAGAGTAACTCTTTATAGGATTGCATTGAAACTGTATCCATATAGAAGATTCAAACTGAATAAACTGACATAGACTATTTACTGGCGCAAGTTTAACTTTTCTTACAGAATCTGCATTTTCTTAGTATAGCATTTTGCTTCCTTCTAAAAGAAAATTGGAATGGGGCTGGGCTTGTGGTGAAGAGACAGTATAGAAAACCAGTTTGGAATATGAAATGCAGCCCCGCAACATCCAAACAAGTAGAATTGTCAGATTCAAATGGAAAAATAGTCTTGGGAAAAATAATTCTGTTAATATGGCTGATATGAAAATGTTTAAGCTCAGCATTACAGGTGCATTACCCAACAAAGTCTGTACTGTTTTACTATTTCTTCTGCTTCTGAATACATGGAGACATTCACTTTCTTTGTGGCAACACTAAAACGATGCTTGGAAAGGGGTTATTCTAATGTATTGCCACTGCCCAGGTACAGCTAGAGAAGCTGCTACGTTGGAACATGGCTGTGAGGGATTTCCACATCCTTGTTAATTTAGTTAAGGTAAGTAGCCATTTTAATATATTTTTCCTTGTTCATGGAATCAAAATAAGCAATTACCTGCAGTGTTTCCTCTACAGTGGATTCCACAGTGATATTGGCTGGTAATTTTTGTAAGCTGCTTTGGGAGCCGAGTTTTGGTTGAAAGGTCACACTTTCTCATGGTCAATGAAAACTTTCTATACACCTTTCATGCCTACTATGCTAATGGCCCATGGTGACATAACCTTCTCTGTGACCCTCATTAGGAGAGATATTCTGCATTAGGCAAAATTGCACTTTGCAAAGCGAGGGAAAGATGCAAGGAAAACAACAGATACAGCTGTGGAAAGTTGGCTGAAGGAGCAATATTTAGAAAGTACAGTTGAGATATGTAAATTCTTTATAGTTAATGCTGACTTCAGGTGATTAATGCATCCTCAAACTTCATCCAGCGGAACATATCCAGCTTTGAAGCCACTTTATACCAATGACCCATCTATTCCAGTGGTCAGCTAAGAAAGATAGCGGCACTTCAAGCAGTGGTCTTGCCAGTGGTTGAGCCTGGGACTGTGAGCATGCAAAGCATGTGTTCACTACCACTGAGTTATAGCCCCTCTTCCTATGAATTGTTCTTGAGCCAACAAGAGAAATTTATTTGGGCCTTCCACATAATTTGCAAGTCAGTGTCTTAGATAACAGCATGGAGTTTTGTTCCAGTGTGTGTGTGTTTGTGTGTGTACACATACAAAGGCAACAAAGAGGCAAAAATACTTCATGCTAAGTCCCTTGGACTGCAAGAAGATCAAATCAGTCAATCCTAAAAGAAATCAACCCTGACTATTCCCTGGAAGGTCAGATAATGAAACTGAAGCTCAAATACTTTGGCCACCAAATGAGATGGGAGCACTCACTGGAGAAGACCCTGATGCTGGGAAAGATTGAAGGTCAAAGAAGACGGGGACGGCAAAGGATGAGATGGTTAGACAGTGTCATCTATGCAACGAACATGAAATTGAGCAAACTTCAGAGGATGGCAGAAGACAGGAAGGCCTGGCGTGATCTGGTCCATGGGGTCGCGAAGAGTCGGACTCAACTGTGTGACTGAACATCGACAACAAAATCAGGAACACATCTTTTAACTTCAGCTGCAGATGTTCATTACTACCAATATAATGTATATGGGGGAGAGGTGCAAAGAACTTATCATTTTATAGTAGCAAGGTTCTCAATTAGGAGGATGATTAACATCCTAGTTTTTCACTGTTTTACTATCTGACTTTTTGCTCTTTCCAAACAGATATTTGACAGTAGGCCTGTGCTCAATGTTTGTCTGAAGGTGAGTTAAAATCAGATACTTACAAGCCCAGGAATTAAGACTCTTCTCAGAGCAGTGATGATTTACAACCATTAGCCTAATCTATTCTCAACAGCCAGCAGCTTTGTTTGCCTTAAAAGTACAGCTCTTCACAGCCTTCTGGGTCTCTCTGTGACAGAAGTAAAGGGGAAAGGTGCCTTTCATTGCTGGGAAGCCACCAGCACTCAGGTACCTTCTAAGAACATCTAGACTGACCTGCTGCTTGTGCGATGGTCATGGGTCTTTGCTTAGCCACTTCTTCATACAGATCCTGAGGGAACAAATAAAGGAAGTGCTCTATTCCTATCAGTTCAAACAGTTCTGGCCTTAATCATTGGTGGAGTTAATTCCCTCTCCTTCCTTTCAAGCACCCTGAAAGGCACCTTTTCCTCCTTCCTTCCATCATACTCCCTGATGCTGTGTTGCTTCTGAAGCATTAGTTTACCAAAATATATTTTCCTAGTTCAGCGTTGGAGTACACAGTCTCCCGAGGATGGTTGTCATGCTATGTTGTAAGCAGTTGTTTCATTCATATTTAATTCCAGGATAAACAGCTAGTGTTCAAACTAGGAGGAGATTCAAACCTTTGACATCCCCCAAAATGGCCTTTTCCAGTGCCTAACACCCCAGCCAGCCTAGGACTTCCATGAGGCTCCCATTATATGGTTCTACGCTTCAGTTTGACTTTTGTACAAAATAGCCACACAAAGTAAGAAAAAGGTATATGATGCATTTTCTGCCTTTCTGTATTCTCACCCAGTATGGTCGACTGTTCATGGAAACATTCTTGAAACTTGGTATGCCCCTCTTGGACTGCAGCTTCAAAAAGCATAGGGTAAGAATCGTAGAGATATTGATTTGTGTGGTTATAGATTGATCAACTCACGATGGCTGTAATATAACCCAGAACATGGATCATGGTTATTGGATATGCATAAAATTACAGAAGTGTGGGAGAGAACCTAATGGCTGCTTGAGAGAAGCTGGGTGATCTGTGAGTAGTGTGATCGCCACACAAAATATGAGGTTCTACACAAATATTTGGTATAATTTTGCTTGGTGCCAGCAGTGATACAAATAAGTACATTTCCTTTTATGGCAAATCTTTCACAAGTTAGACGGTATCTCATTTAAGAATTGCATCACATGTTCCATTTTTAGGTGTTTGTCTTAAGTGTACACTTAAAAGTGGAACATGTGAATGCTGTAGACATACAGTTCTACTTCTCAGGGAGTCAAGACTGGCTGGGACTCTCTGTTGAGTGTACTAGCTTATGCTGTCATGTAAATATACTCTATTGAGCCATAATTTTAGTTATAACTAACTCCGTTGGGTTTGCAGGAAGATGTGCAGAGTTTGCTGAAAACTTTACAGCTGAGCACCAGGCAACTCCACCACATGTGTGGTCATTCCAAGGTAAGGGGCGGGGCTACAAACAGTGTGCTGACTTTTAAATTACTGAAATCTGGTTAATTTTATTGATTTCTGTCTCTCCCAAGCTATGTCCCCTCTTCCTATTTCAGAAACTATTTGTCAAGAGATAAAATAGTAAGTTAATGGCTGAATTGCCCTTGAGTCATTCTTGGTGCATAAATCCTGCCCATGCATAGAGTGAGGGTCAGAGTAACAGCTCTATAGACCTTATACAAAAGGGGGCCCTAAAGGACTCCCTGAAGAGAAGTAATCCCATTTCCTCCTTCACTGACTCCCCTTCCTTCCCCCAGTTTGGCAACCCCAGATGCCAACCCAGTACCATTTGGGGGGGGGGGGGGTGTTACAACATCAGTGCATGCATAGAGGTCACTAGGGGGGGTTAGCCCAAAATAAGTTGTTTTTTTAAAGACTTTTCTGAAGCCCTGTTTTTGCAGAACCCTAAATAATAGCTATAGCTGACCCTCCTGGGCAGATTACCCTATCTGCATGGAGTCTAGCCTTGGCTAATAGATCTAGGGATACTGTGTGGTACAGCTGATATGTCATCTGCTGTTTTATACCAACATATGCATTCATTGTTGTTAATGGTATACAACTCTAATCATCAAGTAGGTTTGCTAGAAAGCTACTTCCAGAAAAAGGAAGATATAATGGCAGGGAAGATTCCAACCCAACACAAGTATACACATACCACTGTCAAGTCCAGTTGTCACAGAGGTTGGGTAGTGATATTCCGCATTTGCCTCTGTAATTGACAGCTAGGGAGCATGCAGCAGCCTTCAGGATAATGAATTTGTCCTAAAGGCTACTGTGACAGAAACCCTAAAACCTTACTAGGGCAAGAGTGCTACCTACAAAGTCTGGGGTCCTGGAGCCATGGGGGTTTACATTAAATGACCCATTCATTTCCATTCCACATTGGACCATCCTGGCAGAGTTAATCCCTTTTGGACAAAGGACAACACGGTTGGGGCCAGACCACCTATTTGTCATGGAAGTTCAGACCATTACCAGATGCTTAATAGAGCATCTGCTCATCAGTCTTAAAAAGGATGATTTTATTTATTTATTTATAATTTTAGTTTATATACCACTCTTCTCTGAGTTCACAGAGATCAGGGCGGTTAACAAGATAATATTGTACAATATAAAATCCAAAGAATTAAAATAGCTAAAAACAACATGGCTTAGGTCTAGTTCCATTGACCATAAATATGTGGAGATATTGAGATAAGAACATAAGAGAAGCCAATGTTGAATCAGGCCAATGGCCCATCCACTCCAACACTCTGTCACATAGCCAAAAATACTAGGTGCCCTCAGGAGGGCCAGCAGTGGGGCCAGAACTCCAGAAGCCCTCCCACTGTTGCCCCCCCCAAGCACCATGAATAAAGAGCATCACTTGCCCCAGACTGAGAGTTCCTATCTATACCTTGCCCCAGACTGAGAGTTCCTATCTATACCTTGTGGCTAATAGCCACTGACAGATCTCTGCTCCATATGTTTATCCAATTCCCTCTTGAAGTCGTGCATGCTTGTAGCTGCCACCACCTCTTGTAGCATGAATTCCATGTGTTAATCACTCAATCCTAAAAGAAATCAACCCGGATTGTTCCCTGGAAGGCCAGATGCTGAAGCTCAAATACTTTGGCCACCAAATGAGAAGGGAGCACTTACTGGAGAAGACCCTGATGCTGGGAAAGACTGAAGGTAAAAGAAGAAAGGGACGGCAAATGATGAGATGGTTAGACGGTGTTATCGATCCAATGAACATGAAATTAAGCAAAGTCCGGAGCATGAAGGAAGACAGGGGGGCCTGGCGTGATGTGGTCCATGGGGTCGTGAAGAGTCAGACTCAGCTGTGCGACTGAACAACAACATTATGATACCGGCTGATTTGTTTTCAATTCACTTCCTAATAATCCCCAGCATAGCGTTGCCCTTTTTTATTGCAGTTGCACACTGTCTCAACATTTTCAGTGACTTATCGACTATGACTCCAAGATCTCTCTCTTGGTCAGCCTCCGCCAGTTCGGATCCCATCAACGTGTATTTATAGTTAGGATTTTTGGCCCCAATATGCATCACTTGAACCCCATTTGTCACGTTGACGCCCACTTGCCCATCCTCGACAGATCCCTTTGGAGTGCCTCACAATCCTCCCTGGTTTCACCACCCTGAACAATTTAGTGTGATCTGCAAGTTAAAAAGCATTGGACCCAGTACTGAGCCCTGCAGTACCCCACTGCTTACCACCCTCCACTGAAAATTGCCCATTTATACTCACTCTCTGTTTCCTATTAATTAGATAGTTTTTGATCCAAAAGGAGTTGTCCTTTTATCCCATGACTATTGAGCTTACTTAGGAGCCTTTGATGAGGAACTTCATCAAAAGCTTTCTGGAAGTCAAGATCTATTGGGTCCCCCTTGTCCACATGTTTGTTCACTCCCTCAAAGAATACTAACAGGTTAGTGAGACAAGATCTTCCCTTACAGAACCCATTCTGAGTCTTCCTCAATAGTTTTTGTTCATCAATGTGCCTACTAATTCTCTCCTTAATAATGATTTTCCCTTGTTTTCGGATTTCCATCTTCAGAAGAAATTGGGTTCATGGGAGGTTGGGCAGGGGTTAATTCTGCACATGATCTGAGGAACCTGCTACAGCCTGGGTTACATGTGTTTAGCTTAGTTCAACTGTATTGCTTTTTATTTGAACATCTCTGTGCTTTGTTGCTTGGATGACTTTTCCCTGAATTTTGTTTTTGCCCCTTTCCCACCATTTTTTGGCCTCTAACCACCCTTTTCCGTTTCTCTCCCTCTTTTATAATAAACCTTTGTATAAAGGTATTTTTGGCTTCCCTTAGTACAGTGTATTTTTCTGACTCTCTCCTGCATGCTAGACTGTATGGGTGCTACATGGTTGGTTATAAAGTATTTTCTAGGAGGTTGTACCCTGTCACTTTGTTATTGCTCTAGTACCGTGCTAGAAGGATATCTTCTCAGGAAGTCTTGAATGGTGGTGACTGGTTACCAGGTTGTTTTCCAGGGACCCCTTGCTATAAGGGAGTTTTCCAGCAAGGAAAAACATGATTCTCCCCGTTTTCCTACTGTAAGAGCTACCATCTGCTAATCTTCTAAACTGCAATTCCAGTAATACTTGGTACATTTCTGTACTTTTCTTGCAAAAGCCATATTGAAGCATGCCATTATAATTTTGATCTTTATGGTCCAAGGAACAGAGATTTCCTGAAGGTCACTCAGTGCATTTATTTATATGTGCATGTGTTTGAACCTGAATGTCCACCAGCCTTCCACTGAACAATGGTGATTATGTACACTAAAAGACTGTATGCTTTTCTTCCACACTTAGATTCACCAAGACACAGGACTCACTAGCCATGTTCCTCTATTGAAGAAGACTCTTGAGCAGTTTGTATACCGAGTGAAAGCAATGCTGGCTCTGAATCACTGTCAGGAAGCTTTTTGGGTGGGCGTCCTCAAAAACAGAGACCTGCAGGTGAGCATAGGCATATGGAAGGTAATATTTCATGTCTGACAACAGCCATTTTTTTAAACGGACACTGTTTGAGTCAGACTTGAAAATGGACAGCCTGATCCTGTGCATGTCGGCTCAGTGCTTATTCCTAAGTAAGGATGCATTAAGTCACATCCTAATCAGATGCCATTGTTTAAAAGCTGAACAAGTATCAGGAATACTAAGCACAGCATGAGCAAGCCGTCTGCCGGTCAAAGGTAAACATATTCACGTAAGATGTGCCCAAGCTGTGTTAATGTATAAATGTTAATCTGGGCTGTCTGCCAGTCAGATATTCTTCAGATATTCACGTAAGATGTGCCCAAACTGTGTTAATGTATAAATGTTAATCTGGGCTGTATCTTCCTTATCCAGGGCAGAGGATGCCATAATAGCATTTATCTTTTTTTCTCCTCTGACTTGATAGAATATAAAAAATAAAAACAAAAGAACCATCAATACTTCTGGATGACCAGTGGTCCATTTTACCAGCTACAGTTGAGATACCAACAGCACACTTTCCTAAGCATAAAAGATATAGCTGTGGTTAATCACACCTTAGTGACATCCAAGACTAACAGCTGGTTTTATGTGAGGCTGCCCAATCAGAATTTGTAACCTGGCAAATTGCCTAGAACTTCTCTCTTATTTTACATTATTTTTGCATTTTATTTTACATTATTTCCCAATCCCAAGTTCTGTTTTTTAAAAATAGCTTCGAAATTCAGCAAATGCTGAATGAGAACTCTGTTCTCACTGGAAATCGCCTATTGTTATAACTACCTGAATTTGCACTTGTTGAATAATTTTTGTGTGGACGTTAGAAAGCTAAATAAGCTGAATATTGTGGATCCATACCCCACT